TATATATATATATATATATATATATATATATATATATATATATATATATATATATATATATATATATATGTATATATAGTAATTCGATAACTTATTTATATACATATTTATATACTATATACTTACTACTTAAACCACTACTTACTTACTAGATCGTGGTATAACACAAGTCTACTAAAGTGAGATATCATAGATATAAATAATTTTTATAAGTACCATAAATTTAAATTCGTTTTTGTTCAAAATAGGAAATACTTAACATGTATATTTAATACATATACTGTGAATATATACTGAACATTCAAAAGAGTCGGAAGTTAACATCTCAAGTACTGAGCAAACAAGATGTATTAATGACATCTTCAATATCTTGCTTGATATTCTTTAGCTTGATTTTCTTTAGCGTCTTTGATGTCATTAATATATTATTATGTTTACTAAGTATTGCTTGTTAAATATATAAACGGTCAAACGTGTCAAACGGTCTAATAAGAGTAATGTATAACAGGATACTATCGCGTTAATTACGGACGCAAGAATTGGCATAGAATTGTGAGTTACTTGCAGTATAATGATCATACAGCCATACCTAAACAAAATCGAGCTCAATTGATCGATGACGCGTATTATTTTGTGATGATGCAAAAACTCTCTCCTACTATATTTATGAGCCTTATTGAATATCTAAAGCGAGAGACGGATTATGTTCCATGGTATCCAATGTTCAACATCTTATCATACATGCATCGTTATTTGAAATTTAATCAAAGTCAATATTTCAAGGTAAGTAATAACTAATACAAGTTAAATCAGACAAGTTAAATATATATAATAAATAATATTAGTATACAAAGTTATAACAAATTAAAGAAGTTCTTGGAATGTATGTATACTATAAACAATTAATAATGAAGATAATTTTCTTTAGAAAATGAGTATATATTCGCACTCGTATATCGCACATGAATAATGCTGTACGGTTAATGTTATTGCGCGAATTGCAGGATATCATATTGTCAAGTTTGAGTGGTCTTCTTAGAGAAATAGGGTACGAGGAACGGTACGAAGATAATGAGATGACGAATTCGTTAAGATTGTTAGCAACAAGATGGGCTTGTAAACTCGGCCATGAACAGTGTCAAAAAGTTGCCACTACAAAATTGGAAGCAATACTAAACAATTCTACAGTGTAGGTGTGATCCCCTCTACAGTCTCACTCTCATAGCCTTTTTTTAAGTACTTTTTGTGCGAAGTTAACTGAATCACTCAATTAGTGGAACAGGAACTAAATTTTTATAACAAATTTTTGTTTTATGTATCCTTCAGAATTACGCCATGGTGGAAGGACTGGGTATATCTCATGGGTATAAAGAGACTGCATGTAGACACTTGGCATCGGATGCTGATGGAAAGTATTTTAGCATCAGATGCAACTACATTCAAGTACTTGGCTTATACTGATCATGATTCGCTCGTAATTTATTACATGAGTATGATTACGAAAAGTCATCGCATAAGTGAAGTGATGGAACATAAAGAGCTCACTCGACATTACCGCTCTATTCTAAAGAATCATTTATACAAGGATAACGTGTTTAATCACGTCTTACAGAATTTTGAGAATATAGCCGACAAGTAATATCTTTCGTTACAAGAATAATCACTGTTTGTAATAGTTGAAGTAAATTGTATCTTCTTACAATAAATTTCATGTCTTCTAAATTTACAGGATTTTTGGAAAAGACGACATAATAAACTTGTGGGGTGATGTTATATTAAATCTGGATTTTGAGCAAATCAAATCGGTAAATTTTATAATTGTGTCTTCTCTGCTTTATCATTTAATAGTAGCTCGTTTAATAATTCGGGTCTTATAATATTTATCATGTATATTAACATATTATCATGTATGTTTTTAATAATTATTATAATATGTTTTAAATCAAATGCAACGAATAATAGTTTCTTATCATACTCAATCATTATCAATATTTATCATATTAATCATACTAATGCTTCTATTAATACATACTATAATAGTAATACAATTACTAATTTGTTATCAATGATTGTTTACACGTGCAAATTATTTATTTCAGATAAGGATATTTTCAAGTAATGTTTCTAAGAATTTGTCACCAGGAGAAACAGTAATTGAATATCTGATAAAGGCACGATTGCATCAATTGCACAGTTTACTAGAGACATTTTTTCCATTTTAAATAAAGAAAATCAAACGGTTTTCTCGATCGAAGTGACTAGTAAATCTATGATGTACATCAATTATGATACATTTAATCATGTCCATATATGTGTAAATTTATTAATAATTTGGAACAAATTTAGTTCTTTAAATATTATATTGATGTGTGTCTATTTATTTATTTATGTACTTATATATATATGTGTAAGGTGCATATAAAAATATTAAGTATATAAATAAGATATGAAAATATATATATATGTACATTTCGTACAAAAAACAAAATAAATGTTTATTATTGTGTAATATATATTATTTAATAAAGTACGCTATTATATTTTGTTATAACAAATGTCTTGTTGTATATAATGTAACCTAAGCAATTAGATTATTATTCTTGATACATTTTGTAGTTGCTTTGCCAAATGGAAAATTTTCTTGGCGCACATTGTATAATAAAGCAGAATAATAATAATGATCAAACATAAAATAACCGAAAATAGCGATCTCGCTATATGCAAAAGAAAATAAATCTTGCAGTCAGCTTTGCCAGCTAGGTATTTAGTGACCTTTAATTATTTTAATTCTTTCTTTCAATTAATAAGTGGCAAATATATATGATCACTATATAAATTTCTTCGTTCTAATTCAATGGTAACATCTTTCTTACTTACAAGTTGATAATTAGTCTAATGTAAAATCAAATTTAGATCGTAAAATTTTCGCAACAAACTCGTTTTGCATAGGAACATAGTATATGTCTCTTTAGATATGTCTCTTTAGATTATTATTTAAATTTGATGTATATTTAAATCAATGGGCAACACTTTGTCGGATTTAATGTGGTTTGATACTTGGGTACTCATATATTGTTTCATTAACCGAATTGCATGTTTATACCTTTCTTTTTATAAGTATATATATATATACATACATACATATATATACATATATATACATATATATATATATATATATATATATATATATATATATATATATATATATATATATATATATATATATATATATATATATATATATATATATATA